TGAGTCGGTACCAACTTGATGGCACCTGACAACAACAACAACAACGCTTCAGTGTGAACTGCTTGTCTTCTTGCTAACTTGTACATCTTCATGTCTTATGGCTTTATAAAGTCTTCATTAACAACTTAATTTAAGTTCTGAAATTTTTAATACAGCAAGCTTGGGATTAATCTACTAGACCTTTGCAACTTCCTGACTGCCCTTCTGAGTTTCTGTGACCCGACAGTTTTCATCCATGTGCATTACTGAGAAGACATCTTATTTACTGCCCTGCCACACTGAATTTCCTCTGTTTTCAGGAGGCTTTAGTGTAAGTGTTCCGAGTACAGTTTGTTACAGTCCCTGCTATGGTATGTGTCCCCCACTGACTTTCAGAAAGGACCTGTGACCCCATCTGGTTTCCCTGGAATCTGCGGGTACCTGCTCTCCTTGAGGTTGTGGAAGCAGGAATCAACTGTTTTGAGTCGCAAGCCTCTTTGTGAACGAGCAAAACGCATATAATTAATAATTTCATTTTGATGGTGGTCATTTAGGCCCAACTCTGCCTGAAAAAGAGAGAAGTAATATGTTAGTCTTGAAGATGTGACAATGGAACCTGTGGTAGAGCCTACCAGATGTCTGCCAACTTCTGTTCTTTAACTCTTCCTGGGCTGGAGGTTGCCCAGCTAGGTGACATTTCCTGGCCTTCCAGGCAGTCCTATGAAGACACGTGACTACTTCTTAGCAGTGGGATGTGAGCAGAAGAAACGTGGACCAGTTCCAAAGTCTTCACCATACCCAATTTCTCTGAAGCTTGCACTAGGTGGTGACTAGGCCGAACCCTACGGGCTGGGGGAACATGAAGAGAAAGCCCCCTGTGCCCCCAGGTCCTCACGAAGCAGCAAGGACACTCACCTAACTGAGATGAGAGGGTGATGGCTACATGAGAGAAATAAACTGCTTTATAAGCCACTTCTTAGGTGTCTCTATTATACCCTGGGGAGTTCTGGTGTGGTGCTGTAGGAGAAGCATGGACTATAAACCAGAAGGTCGGTGGTTCAAACTCACCAACCGCTTCTTGGAAACCATATATAGTAACTATGAATGAGAACCAATTCAATGGCACTTAACAATTACATTACAACCTGGTAGTGTAATAGGTAATGAGCTGGCTGGGCTGCTAACCACAAGGTCAGTAGTGTGACTCTACCAGTCATTCTGCAGGAGAAAGATGAGGCTTTCTGCTCTCGTAAAGATTTACAGCCTCTGAAACCCATACAGACCTGATTGGATGGCACACTACCACCACCACCATTCTAGCAACTTAAGGAGTTCTGGTGGCACTACAGGGTAAACACTGGACTGCTAACCACAAGATAAGGCTTTCTGCTCCTGTAAAAATTTATGGGTTCTTAGATCCAGAGAGGGAGAGGGACTATGTACTGAAGACCGGGGGTGGGGGACAGGCTTGCAGGGTACACCCTTTGGTTGGTTGATGATGCATGGAGGGGATTGTAACCATGGCAATGAAACGATATGCAATAGAATGAATGTAAAACTAATGTTCTCCCATGTAAACTATCACATAATTCACAATAAAGCATTAAAAAAAAAAAAGATTTATGGGTTCAAAAACCCTATAAAGGGGGAAGAACAAACAAAATGGCGGAAGTGCAGTGAGGAGCTCCGTCAGCAACAACACGGAATACAGAACCAAGCAGGCTCAGGGGATAGTCCCAGAACTCTGAATCACATATAAAGGAATATTTAGAAAGTTGGAAGGCTTACAGCTAGGGGAATTTGTAGCAGAAGCAAGAAACCCAGTGCTTTCTAATTCAAGAGACTCAGCTGCTCCAGGAGCCGCCATCTTGAGTGAGACCAAGCGGGAGAAGGATCAGAACAGCCTGACAGAACCACGGAGATAAAGGTGTGGATATTCTTTTCTTTTGGTATCTGTTCATTGGTCCCTTGCTGTCTGCACACCTCCATTCTGGTGACTATAGGGGTGCCTGAACTAGTGGACACACCAGCCCCACCCTCGGAGGGTTCTACTATGCATGTGCACAGAGCTCCTCAAAATTTAAAGAGACAGTTTCCACTCAAAATCAAATGGCCACAGCTGGCCCTGAACTGTTTATAACTAGAAAAAAGACCTGACGGGGATTGTGGAGTGGGACAGGCACACAAAAAAGGAAATAGGCCAAAATTTAAATCCTAAGTTACATCAAAATGACCAACAGTGGCATCTTGATATTTCTTAAGAAGAAGAGTGAAAATGGAAGCCCATTTCCTGATCACATCTACCTGGAGGCAACCAGAAAGCATAAAAAATACCAAAATACATACCTATGTAAGTATTAAGGCCACAGATAACCCCTAAATATTTCCAAAAAACAGAAGCAGATGACCATATCTGCACATGTCCAGAAACGAGAAAAAGTGACTGAGGCAAATGAGCTGGAAGTAGACCTACACTCCATACTGGAAGATGGGCAGGCTTTGGAAATGCCTGAGAAGGAATTCAGAAAAATGATTTAAAATGTGTCAAAACACTATACAATGGAGTTGAGAAAAATAAAGAAGAAGTCAGGAAAGTGCTACAGGAACAATCAAATAAGACAGATACAGCACTGGAAACAATTCAAAACCTACAGAAAGAGGTCCAAACAATTAATCATAGAAGAACAGAAATGGACAATACACTGAAAGAGCAAAGGAGCAGAATTGAAAAGATAGAAGCCAGAACTAGTGAGCTAGAAGATAAATCTCTCAACAGTACTACGATAGAAGAGCAAACACAAAAAAGGATAAACAAATCTGAAGAAGGCCTAAGATTCATGTTGGATAACAAGAAGAGGAATAACTTAAGAATTATTGGCATTTCTGAACAGGAACAATCACACAAGTCCACAGAGGGGATAGTTGAAGAGCTTCTGGAAGATAATTTTCCTAATATCCAGAAAAGTAAAAAGATAAGCATTCAAGAAGCTCAATGAACCCCAGGATGGACAGACCCTAAAAGACAATCACCAAGACATATAATAATCAAGCTCTCCAAAATCAAAGATAAGGACAGGATCTTGAAAGCAGTTTGGGAAAAGAGAAGTATAACATACAAAGGCAAGCAAATCAGATTAAGCTCAGATTTCTCAACAGAAACCATGCAGGCAAGAAGGCAATGGGGAGACATAAATAAAACTACAATAGACAAAGACGGACCTCCCCTAGAGCCACGCCCAGAACGAAATTGGTTCTTTGAAGCCACCCACTCATGACACTTCAGTTACAGGTGCACTAGGAAACTAAGACATCAGCTTTAAAAAATATGTTTTGGTTTCTCAACCATCATTGACTATTTTTATTTAAAATCGTATTTTAAATGAGAATTTGACAACTTTGAACTAGAGATTAATGAAGTTTGTTTTCCTCTTCTAGCTATACTGAAAGAAGGAAATTACAAAAGTGAACTACCAATGTAGGGGACTAAAGGAATCATTTAAGAGTAACGTGATTTATCACATGGGAGAGAAGTCACAGGGTTGCCTCCAACATAGTGAGGCCAAGACCATCAGACATGACGTTCTTTACCCTCACACACATGGCTTTATCCACACACATACTTACCTTCTCATCTCCATCTCAATTTTCTTAGAACCTAAGTCTATGAGGAATGGTATTACATTCCTTGTCAGAAAGAACATTTTAAGATCTTGAAGTATAATGCTGTGATAGGATAATATCTATATGCCTACAAGGAAGACCAGTTAATACAACTATTATTTAGAATTTATGCACTGACCACCAAAGACAATGATGAAGAAATTGAAGAATGCTAACAATTTATTTAGTCTAAAAGTGATCAAACATGCAATCAAGATGCATTGATAATTATTGGTGATTGGAATGTGAAAATTGGACAAAAACAGAGGACAAACAGGTAGTTGGAAAACATGACCTTGGTTATAGAACTGACGCTGGAGATCACATGACAGATTTTTACAAGACCAATGACTTCATAGCAAATACTTTTTTGTTTCAATAACACAAATGACAACTATAGCCCTCGCCAGATAGAATACATAGGAGTCAAATTGACTACATCTGTGCAAAAAGATGCTGGATAAGCTTAATATCATCAGTAAAACATGTCCAGCAGCCAACTGTTGAAGAGACCATCAATTACTCGTGCAAGTTTAGGCAGAAAGTGAAGAAAATTGAAACAACTCCATGAGAGCTAAAATACAACCTTGAGTATATCCCACTTGAATTTACAGACCATCTCAAGAAGACATCTGATGCACTGTTGTTAAGTGTCGTCAACTCGGTTCCGATTCATAGTGACCCTCCACAGGGTTTCCAAGGAACAGCTGGTGAGCTTGAACCACTGACCTTGCAGTCTACCACATTAACCCACTGCGCCATACCAGGACTCCATTTGATGCATTAGGCACTGCAAAGCAATCATCCCTCCCATAGCACTCTACTCAGCTGGGTTCAGTAATTCATTGCAATGGCCACACAAAATTCAGACCCCATATTCACAGTTAGGGGGTTTATTAGGGAACTTAAGAGGGTACAGTTAAGGATCAGGCACATTCAGGGCACACAGCTGTTCCAGTTAGGACAGTCTAGCCTCAGCCATGCCCGTAGACAGGCCTCTCTTGCATTGGCAATGTTACAAAGCTCTTTTAGGGTTCCTGATGAATGCTCATGGGGTACACCACTCTATCATAAGCCTCAGCCTGCGACACTCAGTTCTAGCTCCATGGCACAGCAAACCTAGCTCCCTTAATTGTCTAGAGGCCCCCCACTCTGCAAGCAAGTCTCCTGTTGTAAGTCACTCAACTTTACTTGTTCCTGTGGGCTGGGAAGTCCCCTGCTGTCTGGTGCTCTGGTTTCCGGTTCTGCTGCTGTTGCTCCTCTGCCCCTCCTCCACTGTCACAGCTATCAGTCCCTGGGTCGGGAGGTTCTATGTACAGCAGGGATCTCCGGGTCTAAAGGAGAAGCTCCATTCCTGACTTATCTTTGATGGTAGTAGATTCACCCCTATCGGCTTCTGAGATGGTTCATTTTATATCCAGCAAGAGGGCAAAACTGACCAATCACAATTAACCTTGTTAACAATTCTCACAACTGAATCATATAACCCATCAGCACCTTCCCCCACTTTCTATCAGCTAGACCCACAGAAAAAGTGGATCTAGATGAGAGAAAGTGACCTTTTCATCACAGAAAAAGTCATTTGGTGAGAGTGTACGAAGTCTGACTAAAAGATTCATTAAATAATTCACTATATCAGACAACTACTGATTGAAAACCAGAAGATTTGTGGGATATCCAAGACCTCCCCTCAAATGCTCTTTGTTGTTGTAAAGTGCTGTCAAGCCAGTTCCAACTCACAGTGACACTGCACATAGTTTCCAAGTAGATGGGGGGTTTGAACTGATGACCCTGCTGTTAACAGTCTAGCGATTATCCTACAGCACCACACCAGGACCCCCCAATGCTCTTGAATGGCTATTTACTCACTAGGCTAATTGTTCTACAAGTATTGAGGAAG